TGCGTATACATTTAACAGTGGTATTAATTTTATGTTTTTAAACTACAATTGTCGAACGAATAAAGTTTATTCATAGTTTATATACCCGTAATGCACACCTGCGATTTATTGCGAATGTCTGTTGTAAAACAATATTTATTATTTAACAACAGTTATTTCCATTAATGTTAAACAATTATATAACAAAAATACAAGTTACCAAATGGACAAAAAAACATTGAAGAGGACCAAGAAAAGCATGAGTAACCCTTAAATTAACTATTAAAAAAAATAAAAATAAGAAAATTGGAAACTTTTGAGAGTCTTGTTAATGCTGTAGTTAAATGTGAGGGCGATTTTTATATATGTAACTCATTCCAAAGTTTTAAAACAAAAGTAGAAATATAATTTTCTGAACATTAAAGTTTTAAAAATGGAACCTTTACATGAGATTAAGCAACCTATTTGAAAAGTATAGTCTTAATAAGTTTTACTCTTACTTATAAGGTTAATAAGAAGAGAAAGTAATATTTCTAATAACATGTTGAAAAGTATATCTATTAATATTGATTTTATGTTATAAAAAACATTCACTATACAGTATGTGTGTCCTAATCATACTTGATGTAGAAAAGAGAAAAGCAATACTAACAAAATTAGTATATAATACATTTTATTCTGAATATAAAATTATATTGAGCAGTAATTTAATGAATGCTCAAACTTCATAAGCATTTATGATAGAACAATATAAGGTAGCTGCCCTTGATACAGGAAAACATTTTGTTTTCATTTTTCATCTAAAAATATTATTAACTTTCTTTTTATAATTTTTTGTAGTTTAATCATGTTTTTTTCAGCAGTGTATTATTTTTAAATTCATATATTCATACATTCATTCATATATTTCATATATAAAATCCATAGGACATAGATAACATACAAATACAGTAATAACCATTTCTATTCTATATAAGAATATTAAATTTGTACTGTATGATCTATTATTCTGACAAATCATCCTTGAAATCCCTCACTTAATCATTCAAATACGATCCCTTGCATTTTTCTCTTACCATTACCGTATTTATTCAAATAAACGCCCCCCTTCCCCCGATAAAGATTTTGAATAAACACCTCCCCGAAAAATTCCCCCCTCCCCCAATGACTGTAAACAATTTAATGGAAAAAACATCATTCTCAACACATTCTATTAATGTTCTCCTGTAGAATTACATTTTTTCTAATCTGGTTGGGATCCTTAAAGGCCAACTCAGACAGCGTCGGCCGACGCAGCCCGACCCGATTTATCGTCGGGGACAGTCTTAAGCCGTTGTGAGAAATATTAAACACGTTTAATATTCTACTACGCGACTGCCCCCGACGCACACCATCGCGTCTGCGTTCAACTCACACAGACCCGACGCGACAACAAATCGCGTCGGGCTGCGTCGGGCGACGCTGTCTGAGTTGGCCTTAAGTCTTTATGATTACGTAGTCACATTTTGACGTAATAATGTGTTGTACTGTAGTTCCACATTTACAGTGAAATTATGGGCGTTTATTTGAGTATATTATTATGTGTCCAGTTTACGCCAAAAAAAAAAATAAATAAACGCCTTACTTGAATCAACACCTCCCTTGAATAAATGGCTCCCTCAAATATATTCCTCCTCAAAACCCCTTCTCAACAATAAATGCCCGGGGCATTTAATCAAATAAATATGGTAATTTATTTTATAAAAACACAACTGCTTTGAAATTCATCATGAATAAAGATGCAATAAAATAACAACATTGGTTTGAGGCCGTACAGGCCATAGCATTAAAATACAGCTAGGTTTTTACTCGCCTATAATGAAGTTCAAAGCAGTTGTGTTTTTAAAAAAAATGTATTTATTTTCTTTTAATGTCAGCATATATGACTCCACCAGTTTGGGATGAAATAGACTGACTTGTGGGATCATTCATAAATTCTAAGTCAGCATAATGAAGGCTTTGTGTATCAACAGACATTGAATCATGACCACTAGATGGAGACATTGTAGAAGCTTTCTGCTTGTTTGGTTTATTTTTTGAATTATTCTTCGGTTTGCTGGTTGGTTGTTCTGTTTTTATCATTTCATTTTTGTAGGTTATAATGTCATAAGTTGTGCTTGAGTTTGTTTTCTGGTTCGCACTTTCTTTTCCTATTTTTTGTTTTGTGCTTGGTAGGTGTTTAGAGGCTAGTCTTCTTGAGTTTGCAGGAAGCGTGGAAGCCTTATTTTTTTGGACGCAAGCATAGAAATCACCTCCAGGACTCTGCCGATGGGTAATTGCTTCTGGTGATATGACTGGGTTATTTTTATCAACTTTTGCATACAAATCAGAAATATCCTCATTTTTATCTTTAGTCAACTTGCTCATTAGAACTGGCTCATACATTAAGTTAAGTTCCTCCTTTTGAGGTGGCACTAACATTTTAACATTTTGTTTCTCTATTGTTAAGTTGTTTACCTTCTCAACTTTTGCATACATTTGAGTGGTATCCAGGCTGAGACTGTTCTGCTGTTGATTGTTTTGTAATTCTGAATGAGTGGCCATTTTGTTCATGTTCCGTTTCTCATCAGTTTCATTCAAGTTTTCTCTTGCATTCAGTTTACGTTTATGGTAGAAAATGAATCCAACTAGGCCAAGAATGATGAGAATTATGATGATGATTACAACAATTAAAATTGGAATGAAGGGGTCATTATCGACTTCATTTTTCAAATGGTTATCAGTTTTATCATGAGGCTTAATCCCTGTTTCAGTGGTTGTCATATTGTCCACTACACGAAGCACAAGCTCTCCAGTGCCTTGTCCCAGACCAAATTTTGCTGTACATCTTAATGGCATTCCATTATCATTGGCAGAAACATTTTTTAAACAAGTTCTGTTCAGTAATGTTGTTGACAACTGACTTGCGTCATACATCCATGTATATTGAATCAGACCAATACATTCACCACAAGATACTTGGCATTCAAAACAAGCTTGCTTGCCTTCAGTTAAAGGCAGTGAACTGAGTGCATTTACTTTTACGTCTAATGATCTTGGTTTATTCCTATTAATGTTCAGTGGATTAGTTGAACAGGTTTCTGTCATCATTCTGTCATTTGGATCTTCTGCCACACACTTAAAGATAGTTCCGTTTTTATAGTTTGTGACAGCTACAGTACTATTTAAATATGATTTTACTGTTGTTTGACTGAGTACTCTAGTGTTAATGTAATCGGTATTATCACCTGCATACCAAGTAAGCCTTGTGACATAGTTCCCTGATCCTATCATACAAGATAGTGTAATAACGTCTGTGATTGTGACACTTCTAGACAAGGGCATGCACTGTGGTTCAGGAACTTGTTTTACATCCAACCAGGCTAAACTTTGAATGGATGATTTCTCAATGATGTAGCATGTGAAGTATCCAGCATCAGCATGTTTCACCTCAGTAATCTTTAAAGTACTGTAGACATACTTACCATCACGTTTTAATTCAAATGTTCTCTCAACTGAGTATCTATTATTTTGAATGAGGATATTGTTCCCTGCTGCAATGTTAATATTACCGGTATTTGTCCACCATGCAACATCATATCCCAGCTCTTCTGTTACATCACGATTCAATTTGACAATGCATTGGAAAGTTGCTTCCATACCAGCAGAAATGGTCACATCTTTTGGATCTTCAGTTATTTGCGCACAAGTTACAACTTGAATATTGCTTAACAGATTGCAACAAATAAACATTGTTATAAACATCCTCAATCGATAGTGTCCACACATTTTTATTGATCGCTGGTTACTTGATTTTTATGAGATGATTGTTTCTTCTATTATCCAAACAGCTATTAATGCATATAATTTACTCTATTATTCTTCAGTTATTCTGTATTGGTACCTTGGACTCTGAAAGGCTAGCTTTCACATTTCTCTTACTTATTTCCAGAGTGTCAACCAAACAATGATCCACTTTAAATGCGTCCTTCAATGCTGCGTAGATTGAAATTTTGTCATATAAAAATCATTGTTGTATTTTAAATTGAGTCTTCATCAGGGACACAAGCAAAGGAAATGAAATTGTCTATGGCTTCCTGTGATTATAAATCCCTCATCTCTGGCCAATAGTCAGAAAAATTAGAGAGGATCACACTTGCATATGGTACGCTCAACATGATTGTGCAATAATAAGTGCATTAGTAAGTGGTGATCAGAATAAATTATGATTATGCAGTCTGTAGAGAGGTGTCACTGCAGTGTGTGCTACGATATATATAAATAGATCATTAACGATGCACTGTCTGTCATAAGCGAGACTTTTTTTGCCTTCTTTTGCGAACCTGCCGCCTTCCCAAATTGATGATTTCATATAAAAATAAAATTTTTTTTTTGGCCAATTAGCACACCCGCTGCCACAAAAAATGTAATTTTCAGAAAAAAAATATAGAAGTTTTCCATTTTTTTAGAACTCCAAAAATAAGATCTTTCTTTCCTACCCTCCTCTGACAATCTTTAAAAAATAAGTTTGTGAAAAAAGATAAAATATAGTCTCACTCAAGACAAAAAAAGAAAAAAATATAAAAATTAAATATTTAAATTGCCTCATTTATATGTGGCAAAGACAAGCCAAACCAGTCACTCGTCGCAAATCGTGTTTCAGAGAAAATGGCCAAAACATGCTAAAATGTCAAATTTTAAAAAATCTATTTTTTTGCATTAAACTAACCTTTATATATCTACACACCATTCTATGCTGTTATTTTCCCCATTTTCAATGTTAAAACAACACTTTTTAAGGATTTAAAGATAGTTTCAGCATGAGAAATGCCTGAAATCATAAACTTTAAAGGCTGATTTCTCATATATTGTTCTTTAAACAGCTGTGTGGTTAAACGCTTGTAACTTCATAAGGAAATGTCCGATTTGAATGATTTTTTTACCATTTCATGGCTATTATTTTGCTCTCTAACACTGTATTAATAACACAAAATCGATTTTTGCGACGAGTGACTGGTTTGGCTTGTCTTTGCCACATATATTATTTCAGTAAATAACTTACAATTACAAATTTAAATAAAGTGAAAGAAAAACAGAAAAATTAAGTTATTTGAATTGCCTCATTTATATGGTATTTTCAGTAAATTACAATTACAAATTTGAATGAGGTGATATTGTTTCCTTCAATTAACTAATACGTAATAGTAATCAATTTATTGATTTTTGTAAATGTTTTATAAATCCTTTTGATTTATAATCTGTTTCTGGTTGGAAGGTAAACTATACTACTAATAATTAATTGAATTTTTGAGGATTGCCCTAATTTGTTGTTGACAGAATTTGTTATTGTAGCTATTTTGACTTTCATATTTATAATAACAGAAACGTTCTGAGTTTGTGATTATCTGAAAAAAAAAATCAATTAAAATACTGAATTGGTCATTCCAAATCATAAAATAAATAATTTTACTTAATAAGAAACTTTTTTAATCAGAAATAGTAGTAACAAAAATTTTTTGTTGATTTAAAAAATCTTTCAACTTGATTAGCAACCAAAAAGATACAGGCAATGGATTATTTACTCTTGGTTAATAGACGGGAATTTTTTTTCATACAAATTTTTAATTGCAACTTAATACTTAATCAAGTACACATATTAAGCAATTTAATGACAAACAATGCAAGGCAGAATTTAATATTATATGTTGTGTACTGCTGTAATTTACTGTTATTTTTAAATTTGTGATTTTATTTAGATTTTTTTCTACAATTTTGGAAAATTTTAAACATAGTTGTTTATGCGGACTTGATATATATCTTTTATATTTATTTTATTAACAATCCACTCTTTAGATTTAATTATATATTATTGTATAGTGTATATAGTAGTTCTGATCAATGTCTTGCTATAAAGAATCCAAAATGTACAAAATTACAGGACACTCATGAGATTTCCTAGTAGTTGTCGAAGATTGAACCCAAGACCATAACAACCAAAATCACAGAAAATCACTGTTGTGCTATTTGTAATTTATCTTCTAATCTCCGCATACTGTGTTGTTTCTACAACTGGGTGGGTTATGTTTTTTTTACAGCCTTTGAAGTCCAAGTCTGCATATTGTAACCCTTCAATATTCAATGTCTTTCCAACGGATGAAGCAGATATGGTCGCTGACTTCTTAGTTTGGACCTCAGCCTCCAATCTGGTTGATGAATCAATCATAAGGTCCTGTTGTTCTGTGCTCATGTCTTTTGAATGATGCTCAACATTTAGGTATATTATCTCCTTTTCTCTCGGTACTCTGGTTTCTTTTGGAGGCTCACTGGATTGATCAATTTCATTTCTTATAGAATCATTGAAAGCTCTCATTTCAACTTGATTCTTTCTCCATCTTCTCTGATCTAAAGAGAATGCCTTAGACAATGGCTTCAGTGCTGACCGAGGCTTTAATTTTTGAGTATGACTTCGAGTTACACCATCTACAGCATTTGTTGATTTTTGTGGTTTTTCTACACTGGCGTACTGAACACCGTCCCCACACTGGTACCCACTAAAACTAACAGTGTGTTTGACCATATCCTTATGTCCTGCTGTTGATGCTCGGATGTTGAAATTTAAGGTATGAACTTTACAGGGTCTTGATGTAGCTGCGATGTCTGCAGATGACCCTTCAACTTTGAACTGTTCAAGATCACAGAGCTGTTCATCTGTATAATCATGTTGGTTTGTAGTATTTTCTACCAAGCCAGAATCACAAGAGATTTCACCCCCAACTGTTTTGAGGTCAATATCAGTAGTATTAACTACTTTATCTGTACCACTTTTATTTGTTATATGGCAGACAAGAAGGATTGTAGCACCTGCTAATATGATGAAAAGACCCACGGCAATCATAATATATAGTAAAGCAGGGTTGCTTCCAAATATGTAATTTGTTTTTTTGTTGATTACATTAGAGTTAGCTGTAGCAATCTGATTCTGATTTGAAATAGTTGCAGATAAAGGCGTTACTGTTTCTGTAGTGGTCTGAACTCGTAAATATCCAGAAACACTCATACCTTTGTGATATACTGTGCAGTTAACAATCTCCCCCACATTGTGCAGTGTGACATTACCAAAACACTGGATGTTTTCATGAGACGGTGGTAAGAGATTTTCCATCTGCGAAGACCATGTGTATTCAATTTCCACATTTTTCAAATTGTCATTCACATGGCATGCAAAACATACCACATCGCCAGGAATTATTGGGTTCTGTTGTTGCACACTAACACTTAAAATTGATGTTTTTATGATGCGAGTTGTGCAAGATTCAAACTCAGAATTCTCATTTGAAAGAGTTGCTCGGCACTTAAATATTCTTCCCTCGTCATTAGATTGGACTGTAAATGTATGATTTAACGTGAATTTTTTCCCAACAACTTTCTGGTCAGATTTTACTAATTGTAATGCATCATCTTCTGCACTTCGTGACCACCAGTGGAGTTCAATTGGGTATGAGAGTTGTTTAGCTGTACAGGATAATGTTACTTTTTCTCCAATGATCATCATCATTGGCACTTTGCTACACCGCGGCCTAGGAATAGATCTTAGGACGACAAGATCTGCGGATGTTGCCACCGATACATATTTATCTGAATGTAGGTAGCACATTAACATGCCTGCATCTTCCAGCCTAGCTTTCCTTATTCTTAGAATGCTAGTCTTGTATTTGTAAAACTCATCTTCCTTATCTTCCTTGATGGTCACATTAACTGAATATCGTTTTTTTTCAATGAACACTGTGGTCCCAAGAGCAATGAACTCATGGTCTCTTTCCCATGCTAGATCAAGGTTCACATCAGGTTCCTCCAGTTTGACGGTACAAATTAAAAATGCCTCTCCATCCTCCATTACCTCAACATCGTTAAGACTGTGAGTTATTTCTGCACACATCACATTCTTAAAGATCAGGAAGAGTGTCACTATCCAAACCAGCCACTTGATATTTGCTAAAAAAGTCTTCAAGTACATATCTTGTGGAAAAAAGAGGAAGTTCTAATTCATTTTATTGTTTTGAAATACAGCCTTCAATAACCATAACAAATAAACAATATTTTTCTAATGAGTATGCTCATTTATTAAAAAAATATTGTGCATAAAATAACATCAATCTGATTGTGATTGTGTAGTATATTGAGTGGTTAGCGGTTGCAACCAATCGTAGGATCTAATGCTCAAGATGTTTAATAATATTTTAACATAGAATGATACATGTGAGAATGTACCAAACAAAATTATTTACTACTATATTCACTCTGGCAATATAACAACCCCAAATTTAAAAATTAATAAAGCGAATATCAAAATAATAATGACATATAAATTTCGAAATGTATTGCCAGTGTCATTTTAAAAGAAATAATTAAATTTAATTAAATGATCATATATAAAGAATTATTTCAAACTGACCATAGCACTTAATACTTCAAAACCTAAAATACATTGACAAACACTAAAACCTAAAGCTAATCTTATAATGCATCTACATCCATCTGCATTTATAATTATACTAGTGATCAAACACATACGGTATATGAATCTAAAAAAACTTACTTTTTGGCGTTGATAATTTGGTAGAACTGCGAACTTTGGTTAGGGTTGCCTTTGATCCAATTTTTAATGGTCATCATTATATTACAGTATGTCTGGGTTACTGAGCTTAATGGGTGATGTCATTGTTTGTATAACTTTCACTGGTTTCCTCCTGTTGAAGCTCTAGTTGCCAATACAATGGTATAGTGTACCTCCAAGGAAATGTGAAGGAAACCCCTTGGGTCCCATTGTGTCAAACATTCAAGTCATCGTTGTCTGACAGAAATTAAGCATAAAGATACAAAGCGTGTATTTTCTTCAACACAATTTGGGAGTGGGTTTGAAATTATTTTAATTCTGTCACAATTTTTAATATATTTTTTATTTGTTTCTACTTTAAAAAAAAAAGAGAAAAATATCAGCAGGGACTTAAACTTAATGTACTATATACATCTATGTTTTTTTTAAGGAAAATAATAATTGTTGTTCCTCTTGGTCAAGTGGTGTGTGCAGTGGTTGTGCCTCGGACTTTTAACCTTGAGTTCAGAGGTATGAACCATCGCTGTGAAATTTTACATTTGTGTCTCTCTACTCAGGAGTTCCAGTAGAGCACATCTTTTTTTTAGAGTAGAAGAATCTTGATATACTGTAGTAATTCGTACTCCAAAATTTGATGGTCAATCAAAACCTATGTCTTTTCAAGATGCATTATGAAAATACATTCACAACTTGCCAGAAAAAACTTTCATAGTGTTGATCGATCTCAAGATGATTCATGTGATACATACAAAAACACAATCTCGAGGGCATCTGAGTGGCATCATATTAGTGCCGGCCGCTATGAAATAACTTCAACTTTCTTTTTTCTCAAAATGTCCAACTCAAAGAGCTCAATCACCAAGCGCATAGAGGCTTTTTCGCAAGATGCGCTCTACAAATCCAACTATTATTATTATTATTATTATTAAGGAAAGCAAATTATTATGAATAAACACTTAATTTTGGGTTGGTATTCACATGTTATATATACTCAAATTCAGTTGGAGACAATTCATCTCGCACTCTACAGTATGTAAATACAACACTAGTATTTGAAGCACACACTATAATAAACAGAGATCAATGTGATACGTTCTCTTCTTAAGATCTCCAAAGAGATACTATAAGAAATGTAACATGTGAAGAGAAAAACTGTAAATTGTCTTGCGGTAATGCTTTATACATACTGTATATAAAAGTTTGAATTATAATAATATCTCTTCACATGATATATATACATAAGGAAAGAAATTGATCGCCTCCAATCCTGTTGAAATGTGTCTTATATAAACAAAAAATGTATATATAAGTTCATATATAATTATATATATGTTATTGCATCTACATAGGCAGCATGTCCTAGGTATGAATTCTAGTAAGGCAAGCTTTTTTTTTTTGACACTTGAGGAT